ACCAATAATTACATATGAAATGAGTTCTACCTTAAAGTAGGATCAATGTGAAATGGTACCTCAGGAAGGGCTGCAATTACCCATAGAAAATGACCTATTTTCCATGCTCTTAAAATCTGAGATTTGTCAATGAGGACAGTCTAGAGAGAGGCTTGCTCCTTCCTTCAGAGAAATCCAAAAAGTTGTTAAAGAGCCAAATACACACTTTTGGGCTTGGGGAGGTATTTATGCCTTCTTGGATCTTTTGTTTGTAAGACATAAGCAAAAAATAAAATCTAACCATTGCAAAGTTAATACAAAATTATTAACTAAGGAACTCAGGGGTTATTCAAGTGACATTGGTGGAAATATTTCTACAACTATATTTAAAAATAATTATTCCTATTAAACTTCTTGGCAACTAACATTTTTTTCTATCTATAGCTCATAAATAACATATGCATATTCTGTTCAAGTTTAATGACAAACTTTTAAAATATACTTACCACCTGTCAGTTCATTTCACACATTTAGGAAGTCTCCCCGCATGTACAAATAGAGCATACTCTCTGTTTAGTATTACTATCACCAACCACCAAAACAATGCATAGATGGGAAATTAAGTCTATTTATTTCTATTTATTTAAATGAACATATTATATCTAAATATATGTCTTTATTGTATGCAGTACATGGTTATCTTCTGATCTAGAAGTTCAAGCTTCTTTTCCTTCCCATAGGAAAATCTAGCTGAACTTTAAGAAACTGAGCACCAAGGACTTAAGCAAATCATAGCATCTGAAAGCAGTAACAAGTTCCCTCAACTTGTATTATTCTATATCCACTACACCCTTAAGCACTTAATGTTTCTTATTTTTATATTATGAGAATAGCAGACAATGGTCAAATACTTATACAATCGTTGAAGTTGTAAAGATGGATAAAGAGACTCACCAAACTCAACCTAAGTAGAAAAACAATCTTCCAAACAAATAAACAACCAGGTAACATGGAAGTGCAGTGCTAACATGACACAGGCAACACACCAATGTGACACTGAAGAACTCAGTCTGGGAGGGGAAGCTGAGTGGAGGGAAGTTTCCTGGAGAGACTGACAACAAAGCTGATGCTTTGGGGCAATTTATGGACAAAGTGAAGTGACAATAGACATTTTAGTGATACTAAATCATTAGCTAATATAATATTAATAACTTATAACTACCTACTCTGGACCCAATATCATTTTAATTAATATTAGGACAAAAATACAGGATGCAGTTCATGCCTAAAGGAAAATTTACAATCTATTTAGGGAAGTAAGGTATATCCAAAACAGATTGTTAATAGCCTAATAGCATGTAGTAAAGTGCAGCTTACAACACACAGACATTTCATTCATTTGTTCATCCAACAAATACTTATTATCTCTGCTATGAATCATATGCTGCTCTAGGCCCTAGGGAAATGAGTGTAGAAAAACATACAGGTCAGTGGCTTCATGGACGTCATATTTTGATGAACAATAATATGGGTTAGTATGTGCAAAATAAGGGTCTTGAAAATATGACCGTCATCACCATAAGTAGTTTGAGATAGTAATGGGCCAAATCCTAATTGTGTGAAGCAAAGAAAATAATACATACAATATATTGTTAGTCCAAAAATGCTGTCAATAGAAATATTTAGCCAAATATTACATTGATAGCTTTCCATTACTGAAGTATCTGGGTGGCAATTGATGACTACATTTTCTACTAATCAACAACTCATAAATTGTAGATAGTGTGAAATATTTTTAGTAGATTTTTGCTCTCTTTTGTCAGACATGTTTGACTCAATTAACTTACACTTTCCACCAAGAAAAAGACATCATCTAGCAAAAGCAAAACAGACTTTCTAAGGATTCCCCCAAATTCTGGAACATCATATACTTTAAATCTAAATAGTTTAAAATTACCTTATTTGTGGACTTTTATGATATGGGTAAAAGAAAACAACAGTTCAAATAGCATAGGGTGCGGAATAGATACTAGTCAAATCATCTGTCTATCCATCAAAAAGTAGACAGGAATTAAAAGAAAGCAGCAAAGACTCCAAAGTCATTGATCTTTATTGCTACTATCCCAAGATCTAGACACTCTTGGGCACTGGCTATTTTTGTTAATAATTCTGAGGAGAGCTCTATGATAGAAGAAAGTCAAACTGAGACATACAATCCTGGGTATTTTACACAATAAAATTCTGATTTTTGAGCATATTATTTATATTGTTCCCCAACTAACAAGTGCTGATGATGTCATTAACTGCCTCATAATGGTGTTAAGTGAAAAGTTAAGGAAAGCTGATTTTTTAAATTAAATCCTTCATGCCAAGAGACCATTGATGTAACAAATAATTCCAGCACTTACAGTGAACATCACATCCTTTGCCACCTTGCACACCTTCATTCTCATCTTGTTCCATTACAAAACCAGAAATTTTGAGGTAGAGATTTGAGAGTCTAATTCTCATGAAGTGGCTGTCAGTGATAGCCAGTGTCTTGTGAAAGATATTTAAAAGAATCCAGTGAACCAAACTTCAAAAAAGGTAATAGATTAATATAAATTACCATTAGCTGCATCTTGTGTTAATAACACGCATTTATTTTACATCAAAAACTTGCCTGATAGTGATGCCATGAGTTGCATAATAATAACTATGCTTTGCTTAATTATTTTGTTGAATACATGATGGATTAATTGCACTTATGATAGCCTGAGTTTCTGCAGTGAATTGCTTCTTATCCTATGACAACTACATGGAATCAAAATAGAAGTAGTTCAAATTGCAGTATTAAAAGCATACCAAATGGTTACAGTAAAAAGGTTTCCAAATGAGTTATCAAAATAAATACATGAAATTTAGAACTTGAAGAAAACCTCTAATTAAGGGAAACTTATAAGAACCTTCAACAAGTTCTTTGCTGAATGCATTTATTTGGTTTCTTGATCCTCCCACCAATTGCATTAACAATGACAAAAGATATGCAAATTTACACAGACAATAGTCAAGTCGAACTGCATAGACACCAACAGGAACATTTTTAGCATATATTCAGTTTGATTCACACCAGCAAGGGTCTATGTAACCAAAGAACTTTTTCATAAATATGCTTGTCTATAATCTGAAAAATATGCCACAGCCATTGACTGAGAACAAAGCAAACAAGAGTAAATTTTTTTTCACACAATAAATTAACATATGAAATGTGTATGATTTAAGCCCAACAAAAACATGCAGATACTCTCTTACTGCTGAATAATTGTGCAGCCAGGAACAAATATGCCATTTTGATTGCATGTTTTAAACAAACAAAATATTACATTTGTGGTAGAAAAGTTCATTGAAAAGTACGTGGGATTTAATTTCCTTCCCTACACTCTTCAATGAATCTAGAAGAATTTATAATGATTGAATTCTTACTAAAAAAATCATATGGAAAGCATACTGAGAATAGTAATAAACTATTCAACCAAATTCATCTATACTACAGAAGAAAGTTTTGCCAAAGAAAACACAAATATCTTAATTAAAACTGCTGCAATGACAGTACTGGAAATGTAGTCTACAATTATCAAAAAACTGCAAAATTCTGTTTGCTTTTTATTTTTCTTCCTATCTATTGACTCTTTCACCTGCAGTCTATAATAGAAAGATTAGCTGCTATTCCAGGTTTGGAAATGCTAAAACAACTGAATTTCAGTTAACTTGTCAAATAAAATAACAGTGAGCTTAGTTCAGTCCCTAGTGGACAAAAGCAGAATAACTATTCCTTGGCATGATTCAGCAGGCTCTGATGTGCACCGTGACCACACAGGAACAAAAAGGAGCACTTGTCCTTTCCCTATCTTTTATCTTCTTCAAGGGTTTGCTCTGTTAACAGACCAACTAAATGAAAACTGAACTGGCGGTGTTCCTACCTATATAGACCAAGCGAATTTTTAGCAAACACCCCCAGGGGAGAAGTTATTCACAAATGGAGACATCACACCCTTCTAGTGACATAGTTGTATACAAGTAGTTGCTACTTACCTGTTAGCCAGTTAAACAGAGAGCAGGAAACTGCATTCATATTTTAATAGGCAACACCAATAAAATCTTTTAAATAATTTATATATAAATAACCAAATAAGATGCTCAATTTGGTTTCTATAGATTGGGGTTAAATGCATGTTCAACATTAACGTTCATCTGGACACTTAAACTCCCACATGATACTGTCTGTAACTACAATTTCCTGAGAAAGGAGGCACTTCAGCAAATGAGCAGAGACTCTACAGTGTGCTCAGTTCAAATCTGCAGGTGCACATCCTCAGGTGCAGTCACTACCGGCACAGTTTGTCCCTTCAGAGTGGTCAAACTACTGCTTCCTGATGAGTGACATTAAAATCTACCTTCTTGCTTTTTTTCCCCTCAGGCATAGAAATCAGTCCTCTACTATTTACTAGTTGCTGAATTTGTTTCCTTTATATATTTAACACAATTTCTCCAAACATTTTACTTTATATTTATTCTCATTTCATGCTAACTTTACTAAAAGTTGAAAAATAAGTTTTTGGTGATGATTTCTGGCCCTAGACACAAATTTCCTGGTGTAAAACCTGTTTAATCCTAAATTAGTATTGTCATTATTATTTTTTTTTTCACCAACTTGCTCAAGGCACATTTGCTTTCGTTTTGAAATGAGTTTTGATAGTCAGAAAACTCAAGTTCAGTTTTAAGCAAAAGAAAATCAGAAATGTCACAAAATGCACCATTACTAGGCACACAAATGGGGCAGCACCTTACCTAACAGGCTTGCATTATACCTAAAAGCATGGCTCACCGGTAACTCACAGGGAGAGAGCTGCCTAGCATTTGCAAACACTGCCCCCCTGGAGCAAAAGGTAAACACACAAATGCTCCCCTACGGAATTGTAAGTTAGCTGCAGTGTAAGAACAGAAAGGCTCCGTGCAATTAGAAAGTGAAAGCAATCACTTACTTTTTGCAGCCACTGAGTATAATTTTCCATCACATGCTCCAGATGTTGAAGTTTCTGGGAAGAGAAATCCGTTTCCACGTGTGGAGCATCTCTCTGCAGAGCGTTTGTGTTGTACTGGTCTGTCGTACTCTCACGACAGTTCCCGTCGTGTTCTGGAAGAATGAAAGTATAGGCACACTGCCCATGTTGAATCCGGTTATATCTTCTCCCACCGTTTTCTGGACCTCGGCGCTGGTTGCTGCACCCTATGTGAGTCAGAATGGCAGCAAGGAAAGCAAAGGAAAGGAACACTGTCATTGTACTGCCAGCACTTTCTTTCTGTGCCTCTCTCAAAACTTGCTTCTTTTCTTCTGACCTTTAAACTAGTTCTTTATTTCAGGTAAAACTGCTTGCTTGTTTGACTTTTCCCCCTCAAAGAATGTTTTTGAAGAAGAATCATAGAAAACTAGTTATTTCTTAGCTTCGTTCTAAAATGTTGTTCTAAATATTTTTTTTTATTTCACTGTAATGATAGTTTCCTTAGTTAAAACTTGAGATATTTATTGCATAGTAGCTGAGATTTATTGTTTCCTCTCTGTGTAACCGGTCGGCGTTGAGCCTGCCTGAGTCAGCTGCGTGCACATATTCTAGACCCTTTCCTCTACCCTATCTGCAGCAGATCTGCTATTTTCTCCCAGACCTCAGTGAGTTTTATTAAGGTTGCACATCCAAGCCAAGCTGGAAGCAGGCAGCCTTTCACAAGATGACTTGACAGGAATGCATGAGTGTGCCCCTATGCTAAGGATTGCTGATGGCTTGGAGCAGCGGGATCGTCTTACAAATTGGCTAGATGCGCATGACCTCGATCATGTATGGCCCGCCCGCCCCTTCCGCAGACAATTGCCTCCAGCCGTTAGCAGATTCACAGCAAATCAATAAATACAGCAGTCCACCTTAATACACTTTTTGGTGTCCTTGCTGTCCTACTAAAATCTAACAAACAATATGTTTTTAAAGTCATGATTTAATAGGAAAATCTGAATAATAAATTGGCATAGTGTCCTGTGTTTTTGATATTTTTTGACAGTGACTATTTTTGATAGTGAGTGACAATCTGTATAATTATTAATCTTTGAAAAAATTATTCTTGTTTCCGGGGGAAAGCTATTAAAGACCATTTTTAGAGATGATATTCTTTCACTGGGGCAACCTAAACTTTTAGGAGTTAAAGGGAAATATCAGAGAGGATCAAATTAGCAAGAAAATTTCATAATTGTCAGTGAGAGGAACACAGGCTATACATATTAAGCAGGATAGCCTGAGTACCATTCAGGTATTTGGATTTGAATGAAACTGGTTCCCTGATCAGAAAGCAGCCCTATATGTTCTGTCTGTCAAATTGAGCAACTTACAAAAAATAGTGTTAAGACAGTGACCTGAGAATTAGTAATTCCTGTGGTATATCCATCCAAGTAACATATTTCACAATGACCTCCTTGGAGTTGCTATGGTTCTCTTTCATGCTGGTATGGCAGCTATACATAAATCCTCCTGTGCCTGCATAGAAAAACTATCTGAGAACAATTATGTATCAGGTGTGGCAATAAGTCAGCAGCAAGGGACTAAATAGGGAAACACTGTGCTCTTATTAAGAAGCAAAAGTTATCAGAAGATGATATGCCAGATGTAGGGTGTGACTATATGAACAAAAGGATCAGTGAATCAAAAAGTACAGGTGACAATTACAGAATTAAGGCTATAGTGCAGAAATCTTTACTAAGAGTGTGCAGAAAACATGAATTATGAGCAGGGGCTTTTATCAAGAACTGGGAGGGATTTTAGGGAATAGAACTTTCTACGGCAGTTATGGCATCAAAACAGTAGCCACAAATGTCTCTCATGTCCTGGAACTGGGGACAGGACAGTGGGTGAAGGGCAGTGGAGGTTGGAGACTGGCATGTAGGAAGAACTTAGAAGACAGGACAAAACAAATTCCAGAAAGAATGGTATTTACTTGAGGGGGTGGGGATTATGCCAAGGTTCATCAGTCCTTTCCATACCAAATAGCAAATTTTGTGATCTGACAGAGGTGGAAGCAAGTATTACCAAATAGCAAAAAATTCTTTGCACCTTCTACACTGCACTACTACTTCTACACTCCCCCTCCTGAGGTTGCAGCCCTGTTCGCTAGTCTGACACTTGAGTGCAATGATAATGACAACTTTTAAGAACATACTATTTTCCAGGTCTGTGCTAAACACTCCTTACACACAGTGTCATCTGATCTCCCAACAAACTTAGACATGAATTTGTCTAATCCTATTTTGCCAATGGGAAAACTGAGTCACAGGAAGGCTCACAGGTGATGTTGAAAATATACCAACTGTGACAAATGGGCTCTGAGACTATGCTTCTAACCTCCAAGTCTTCCAAAAGCACTCAAGCTGCCCTGATTCACAGGTGAAGTGATGAGTAAGGGCCAGTTTATAACTCCTAAGTGACTTAGGCCTTTTTTCTGTACCCCCCCAAACCAAAATAACAGTTGCAGCATGCATTTGGATTTTTGAGGGCCCACAAGGATGAACTAGACAGGCAAAACACAGATTGTCTGGGAACATTTTCCAACATTTCTAGCTTTGAAAATTATCCCTGGAAAGAAGAGAGTCCAAAACCAACACCTATAAGTGCTTCATTATTAAGTAAATACAGCTGAATATCAGCAGAAGACAAAGGGGTGAGTAGTGAGGTCCCTATTAAAGTGTTCCTGTGTTTTTAACTAGTGAAGAGTGTAAAAAATGTGTATCTATGTGTGCTGATCATGTGAACTTTATCCATCTTAATAAATGAAAAGAAGGAATGCATAATTTCCTGAGGTACAATTAGATAACTAATGAAGGGAAGCCTGAAATGTAAGTAAAATGGGGAATTGGTTAAAAAGACAGTGAAAGAAAGATTGATTGATTTCTGTTCCAGAAAAACAGAGAAACAAACAAACAACAACAAAAGCCACACCAGTGGAAGTACTAGTGCCAATTTGGGGGAAAAAAAGTCTCAAGATCATTTTTAATTAACTGGAAAACAAAGAGATGTGCAAAATCTACTCATGTGTTTTGAATCTCCAACTGAGGAACCACTGGGTACATTTGTGGATCCCAACGATATGCTGGAGGTCATTTGCTACAGGGACTTGAATCTAACCACAGCAAAGTGTTGATGTAGTGGTTCTGATTAATCTGAAAGGGTGCAGAGTTAAGAAGACTTTAGAATTTAGAAGGTGATGAACAAACCATATGAAAGAAAAGTACTATTATACCTAAAAAAAAAAAAGTTAAAAAAAAGTTCTAAAGACATAAATTTTCTACTAAATTATATACAGAGGGCCTCCCCTGGTGGTGCAGCAGTTGAGCGCTGGGCTGCGAGGCTGCCTGCAGCCTCTGCAGCACGGGTTAGTTCCCCGGCCGCCAGCGAGGGTCCCACACACGCCAAAAAAATTATATACAGAGGTAACTTGATCTTATCTGCTTCATGTTTTGTATTTTATTTGCATTATGAAGTCTGGAATTAGGAGGTGTATGCTTTAAGATTCTGGACTCATACCCACATTAGTCCTAGTAAATAGTAAATAGTCCTAGTAAAATGTTAGGGTTATGCTGATATTTCCAGTGGAGCAGAAAACATGATTTATAGGGGAACGTGATGGCCTTAAATCTATTCTAAGGAACAGTATCTATTACTTCTTTTTTTTTTAATTTTTTTTTAAATAGAGGCATGTTTATTTATTTATTTATTTGTTTGTTTATTTGTTTATACAAGCACTGGGTACAGTCAGAAGCGCGGGAGGGTGAGAGAATTCACCAGAGCCAGAGCAGGGAGCAGAGCAGGCAGAAGGACCGAAGTACACTGCTGAGGGGAGCAGCGGGCGGCAGGACAGGTCTGCGCGCCATGTGGGACCCTCCTCCGGTGGCCAGGGAGCAGCTGGGGATCGAACCGGTGCCACAGAGGCCTCGGGCAGCTTCGCAACCCAGCGCTCAACCGCTGCGCCACCGGGGAGGCCCTCTATTACTTCTTTTTTGAGGCTATCCTAATTTCTCCAGGCCCAGTAAATGGTTAACTCTGATGTATTTCAGTATCTTTCTCTTCTCCTTATTGGCACTTCTTCTACAGCTTTCTATTTATCTTATTTTTTTGGTCTATTTCTTCCTCTAGCTGTGTGCTCGAAAAGTGATCTCTCTCTTTCATCATTGATTCCCTAGCACTTACTGGTTAATGGAATGAAAGAATAAATGAATAATTGAGTGAGCTAATTAATTGCATAGTGTCTACCATGTGACTAGTCACATAGCTTGCATTTGGGGGGTGAGTTTGCTTAGAATTGGGATGAAGACAAACTGTATGTGAATGAAGGAGACACAAGAACATGGTACAATTATTCATAATTTTTTAACCCTTAGTAAATAAATTTCATTGTTTAATGTTTATAGGACCCCCATAATTCTGTATTATTATTTCCATTTTATGGATAAGAAAATCAGGGCACATAGAGATTAACTGCCCAAGCTTCATCTATTTCTCCAATAATACCCCAGAGTCTTAGCAAACAGAAAGAAAATATTTCTTAAATTGAGGGAACAGCAATAATACAGCATCTATAATTCCTCTTTCTACTATATGTCCTCTTTCTACTCCCATGCACAGCCTTCATGGATTTATTTTATAATCTTTCAAAACAGAGCTAATATTAAATGGTTTTGTCATCTGGTAACAAACATCCAATCTGATAGTTCAGATTATACTTTGGGTCTATTCTGAATGGTTAGTCAGGGGGCCATATCACCTTGTTATACATCTTAACTATCATGCATGCTCTAAAGTAAAATAATACAATATGAAATATTACATTTCTCGGGGCCTCCCCGGTGGCGCAGCGGTTGAGTGCTGGATTGCAAAGCTGCCCGCGGCCTCTGCGGCGCAGGTTCGATCCCCGGCTGCTCCCCGGCCACCAGCGGAGGGTCCCACGTGGCGCGCAGACCTCTCCTGCCGCCCGCTGCTCCCCTCAGCAGTGTACTTCGGTCCTTCTGCCTGCTCTGCTCCCCGCTCTGGCTCTGGTGAATTCTCTCACCCTCCGTGCTTGCTTCTGACTGTACCCAGTGCATGTATAAACAAACAAACAAAAAAAACACAAAACAAACAAACAAATAAATAAAGCATGCCTCTATTTAGAAAAAAAAATATTACATTTCTCAAAAGCATATTTGTGGGTTCCTATGAGCTGGCTACTAGCTGGCCACTCATGGGCAACTATGGCCTGTTTGCTATCTGCAAATCACAGCAGAGCATTCTTTGACTACCTACAAAGGTTAGCCCGTATCATGCCGCAGGCCCAGGGATGCCTAGGCCGCTATTGACCTGATAATTCTGCCTGTGATAATATCAGATACTTTGCTGATGCAAATGTCTCTTGATGTATGGTAACAACGTTCCCTTCCCTGTCCCTCGTAAAAGTTTGTCCCCCGTTCCTATCCCACCTTCCTGACCTTATTTCTCATACCATTGCTTCATGATCAGCTTTTACTGGCCTGTGTGCTTTCAGTAAATGGCACAAGAACTTCTGCTCAAGTAGCAGTCTTGCCTTGCAAACCTGCTCCATCACTGCTGCTTCCCTCATCCCATTCCCTATGCAAAGTGGCAACAGAGTTCCTATCTCAACAGCATCTCAGGCACTCCTCTGGTATTCATAAGACTATGCGTATAACAGGAAAGGAGATGGGAAAGTATTCTCTCTGTGTACTGAATCCAATGTCATTTAGCACGTATTATTATATCA